AATTGATTCCTTTATCATTGTGTAGTTATCTTGTGTAGTTATCTTTTTTTAAAAATAATTTTTGACTCAAAGTCTGTTTTCTCTGATCTAAGTACAGCTACTGCTATTCACTTTTGTTTTCCATTTTTGTGGAATGTCTTTTTTCATTCATTCACATTGTCTGCGTGTTTATAGGTGAAGTGAGTTTCTTGTAGGCAGCATGTATAATACTTAGGTCTTTACACTTGGTTGTGCATCTTTGCACACAGGTACAGATGTGTGTAAAAGTGGGAGTTTAAATTTAGTCTCCCTGAAATCTTGTTAGCTCAAAATTAAAGCTGCTTGTGTTTTTCAGGCTGTTAGTATGTTCCAGTCACTATTCCTATATTCTCTCAGTTAGACGGTATTATTACCGTTTTATAGATGGAGATTTGGAGGCACAGAAAAGTTAAGCAACTTTTCTGTTTATACACCTAGTAAGTAATAGAGCCCAGATTTAAGCCTGGGGATTCTAACAGGTCTAGTAATTAACAATGTTTGGGAGCTGATCTGAGGTCAGCATGGCTTATATCTACTATTATTTTAACATATAATCAAAATCATGTTCATTAGGTGCCAGGATGGTGTTAGAAAATTTTAGTGTCTTGAGATGGCAAATATAATTTAGACTTACTTTAATACATTGGTGAAATGGTCCCTGGCAGAATGCTAGAGGATGTGCTCAATCAACTGTATTGGCAAGTTCAAATAAAGTATCTAGAGCATAGTGAGAATGGATATTGAATGACATTTTAACAGGAAGCATATTAACATGTGTAGAATGAAGACATGAATCAGTCACAATTAGAAGACTGAATGGAAAATTAGAAGCACATGAAGAAGACCTGTCTATGTTTGAGATAAAATATTTAAAAGCAATTAGGCCCGTCTCTCTTTCAATTATATCTCCCAGCCAAAAAAAAAAAAAAAGAAAGAAAGAAACCTCAGTACTCTTTATGGGTGTTGCAGCACATTTGTCTGATCTTTTATTTTTAATGTTATGACCAATATTAAATAATTACTTAACATGAGAAGTTCAAAGAGTGATAATTTTGTTTTTGTTGAGAATATTGGGAGATTATATCTCACATGCAATTCATGAGGATAAAAATTATCTGGTATTACTAAAGTGAAATATTAATCTTTGATTAAATTTCTGGATTAAACATTTTACCTTGCCTTCTCATCGTAGACAGTGATCACTTTGAGGAATTATCAGAGTACAACCTAAAAGGAGATTTTGAAAGTTACAACTTTATAGTACAACCTTTATGTAATACCTTCTTACCTTATTCTGAACCTATCAACCATGTGGTTTCAGTTTTCTGTAAGAGACTCTTGATTTGTTCACAGACTGTAAAGGCATTTGGACCACGGATTCATTCATTCAAAAGATAAATTCAAAATCCGCTGTTTGCCAAACTTACTTGGAATACATCATTGAATATAACTGATGAAAGCCTCTGCCTACTGAAGCTTACATTGTTTTGGGGAAAGACAGACGATTAGTAATACATGTAATAAATAAGTTAATTTTATATATAATGTAAGAAGACAGTAAACACAGTAGAAAAAATAAATTGTGATAAGAAAAATGGTGTGGCGAGGTTGCAGTTTTAAATAATAGCCTTGTTAAATGTTGAACAAGCAAATTGTACGTTCTTAGCTGAGCATACATTCTACTTTCTTAATAATTCTCACATTATGGGAAATAGAAAGATATGAGTTATATAATATGCTTTCATTTGAGTAATGCTAAATAATTTTTTAAAGCAGAAGATCTTGCACATATATCTCACAGTTCTCCAAAAGAGCACTATGATATAGGATTGGCATTGCTTTCATTTTGCATATGAGGAAACTGAGTCTCCAGGGAGGTTAAGTATCTTAATTAAGGTTACTCTGTTTAATTGGTAGCTAAGCTAAGACTGAAACCCAGATCTCCAGATTTCCAGTTCAGGACTTTTGTCCTCATAGTATCTTAAGCTATAAGCTCTTTTGATTATTTAGTCCATAACGTCAAATACTGGCATCTTCATAAATTTATGTAAGATGGTTGTTATTACAACTGTAAAAACTACATGTGTTGTGTACCAGCCCGAACCCTGTTCATGGGTGCCCTTAGTCCTGGCGTGACAAGGGATTGAGAAAAGGAAATAAAGACAAAGAGTGGAATTTTACAGCATGGGTCCAGGGGACCAGTGCAAGCATGGGGACCACATTGGCACTGAGTTGTGGGCTCCACATGCCTTTATTAGGCGTATACACTTGTTAATTGAGAGGTGGGGGAACAAAGAGGGATGATTGGGGAGGCCTTGAAACTATTGGGAGAGGCCTTGAGAGTAATGTGCACAAGATAGCCAAAGGGGAGAGGTGTAGTCTGCAATATTCAGTAGCAGCTGTGATTCTTATGCAAACCTAGAACACTGAGTTGCTATCAAGGTGCATTTGCATCTGAAGCATAGCAGATAAGGCACTACCAGGTTTGCCCATAGCAATGCATCAGGGGCTTTTTATCTCAGGAGCTTTTTATCTCAGGAGCATTGCCATCATAGAGCAATCAAGATTACTCCATATTCTGAGAACCTAGGTGGCTTTTCCTCCTTGCAAGCTCCCATCTGCAAAGACCCTCTCAGATCTTGTGAGCAGAGGTCACCTCCCTTCTCAGAGATCTTAGGCAAGTACTCTTTACGAGATCCTCATGCAAGCTCCCTGTTGAGAAGGCATTCATTGGGACCAAAGCAGTGTTTCCTGCTCTGCAACCACCCCGAGGTGTTCCATGCTCTTAGATGGTCTTTACCTTAGGCCTCCTGTTGCCGCTTGATTTCTTTTTTTTTGTTTATTTATTTTTATTGCATTTTAGATTTTGGGGTACATATGAAGAACATGCAAGATTGTTGCATAGGTACACACATGGCAGTGTGATGTGCTGCCTTCCTCCCCATCACCTATATCTGGCATTTCTCCCCATGCTATCTCTCCCCAACTCCCCCCCCCCCCCTGTCCCTTCCCTATTCCCCCCGAACAGACCCCAGTGTGTGATGCTCCCCTCCCTGTGTCCATGTGTTCTCATCGTTAAACACCCACCAGTGAGTGACAACATGTGGTGTTTGATTTTCTGTTCTTGTGTCAGTGTGCTAAGAATGATGTTTTCCAGGTTCATCCATGTCCCTACAAAGGATACGAACTCATCGTCTTAAATGGCATAGTATTCCATGGTGTCTATGTGCCACATTGTCCCTGTCCAGTCTATCATTGACGGGCATTTGGGTTGGTTCCAGGTCTTTGCTATTGTAAACAGTGCTGCAGTGAACATTCATGTGCATGTGTCCTTATAGTAGAACGATTTATAATCCTTCGGATATATAGTCAGTAATGGGATTGCTGAGTCAAATGGAATTTCTATTTCTAGGTCCTTGAGGAATCGCCACACTGTCTTCCACAGTGGTTGAACTAATTTACGTTCCCACCAACAGTGTAAAAGTGTTCCTACTTCTCCACATCCTCTCCAGCATCTGTTGTCTCCAGATTTTTTAATGATCGCCATTCTAACTGGCATGAGATGGTATCTCAATGTAGTTTTGATTTGCATTTTTCTAATGACCAGTGATGATGAGTATTTTTCACATGTTTGTTTGCCTCATATATGTCTTCTTTTGTAAAGTGTCTGTTCATATCCTTCACCCACTTTTGAATGGGCTTGTTTGTTTTTTTCTTGTAAATCTGTTTTAGTTCTTTGTAGATTCTGGATATCAGCCCTTTGTCAGATGGGTAGATTGCAAAAAATTTTTCCCATTCTGTTGGTTGCCGATTCACTCTAATGACTGTTTCTTTTGCTGTGCAGAAGCTGTGGAGTTTGATTAGGTCCCATTTGTCTATTTTGGCTTTTGTTGCCAATGCTTTTGGTGTTTTGGTCATGAAGTCCTTGCCTATGCCTATGTCCTGAATGGTTTTGCCTAGATTTTCTTCTAGAGTTTTTATGGTGTTAGGTCGTTTAAGTCTTTAATCCATCTGGAGTTAACTGATTTCTATTTTACTGCACCAATATTTTGTGATATTGTGCCAGAGTTGCTAGCCTTTGCTTACCAGTAATAACTAAAATAAGCAGCCCAGGCTAATTCCATCCTGGCTCCTGTGACTTGTAATAAGTAACTAAGATCTGTGACTTCTATCACTACCCAGATAATGTGTAAACAAATGCTTATCTTGACTTCTGTAAACTACTGAAGTAACAAACAGAATCCCCTGGCCCTTGGAATGTCCGGAGACCCCCACCCTCGTCTCCTCCCAGGAGGTGAATCACAGAGTCCCCTGGCCCTTGGAATGTCCGAAATCTTTTCATCCCCATCCCTGCTCCTCGCCCCCACTCCCAAGGTGGTTTTCTCGTGTATAAAAAGTCTTGGCACCCTCCTTTCGACACCACAGGTTGGAGAGACGTGAGTCCTCTGTGGTCGCCGGCATAATAAATGACCCTGCAATCTGGCATACTTTTGTCTTGGTGATTCACTCTACGCTTGGTCCTGTACAACTTTCTATGCTTGGTCCTGTACAACAATTTGATATAGCTCAGTTCGGGATATCAACTTCAGTGTACAATAAGCAAAGCATGCTGAGGTCAAGAGATCGAGACCATCCTGGTCAACACGGTGAAACCCCGTCTCTACTAAAACTACAAAAAATTAGATGGGCATGGTGGCACATGCCTGTAATCCCAGCTACTCAGGAGGCTGAGGCAGGAGAATTGCCTGAACCCAGGAGGCGGAGGTTGCGGTGAGCCGAGATCGCGCCATTGCACTCCAGCCTGGGTAACTTAAAGAAAACCCCCCCCCCAAAAAAAAAAAAAAAAAAAAATTATTTAACTAGAAATAACATAAGTCTGCCTCTGGCCGTCTTGGCCTACAACATGAGTCTTAACTGTCCTTTATCAGTCTTTATTGTGATAAATTATGGCTTTGTCTTTTATTTGTTTTGCTTTTATTTAGGATCAAGCAGAACAATTCTTTAGAAGCGGCCATACAAACAACTGGGCTGTTCTGGTAAGTATGCTGTAAAAGTATTCCTTGCTGTTCACATTAGATATGTGTCTGAGAAATTTGTGTGAATCAAATTTTTGAAAATAAAATTTATTTTTGTCCATTTTATATCAGAAATTTGTTATTTTGATTTGGCTATATTTTAAATTGACCACATCAGCTATAATATTCTAGTAATATTCTTTGTCCTCAGAATATATGTCAAGTGGTGACCTGAAAAATAAATGTAAGAATAAATTACGAGTGCTATTATTAAAGGAAAGATTTTATAAAAGGAAGAATTATTTTAATGCTGGAACTACTAATTGTATTTCTTATCTATAGTATTAGTTTATAGATACTCTCTGTATAGTTTATGCTTTTTAAAAATTTTTTTCTGGCCGGGCGCGGTGGCTCACGCCTGTAATCCCAGCACTTTGGGAGGCTGAGGCGGGTGGATCACGAGGTCAAGAGATTGAGACCATCCTGGTCAACATGGTGAAACCCTGTCTCTACTAAAAATACAGAAAATTAGCTGGGCATGGTGGCGCATGCCTGTAATCCCAGCTACTCAGGAGGTTGAGGCAGGAGAATTGCCTGAATCCAGGAGGCGGACGTTGTGGTGAGACGAGATCGCGCCATTGCACTCCAGCCTGGGTAACGAGCGAAACTCCGTCTCAAAAAAAGAAAAAAAAAAAAATTTTTTTTCTGTTTTTTTTCTCTGCTTATAAAAATAATGATCACTGTAGAAAGTTCAAATTATACAGAAAAGCTTAAAGAAGGCAGACTAATTTTGTTATGTGAATTTCATCTCAATTAAAGAAGACAGGGAAAATGACTTCAAGTCTCACATCCAGAGTTAATATTTTTGTGAACATTCTTCTAATTCTTTCTTCATATGTAAGCATAAAGATACATAGTCATATGATTTTATATAATTGGGATCATATTATACCGGCTATTTTGCAACCCCTTAGCATATCTTAGGGATATTTCCTTGCCAGTAGGTATGGAGATACATAATCTTTTCCAAAAGCTGTATTTTCTTCCATTTTGTGAATGTACTGTGACCTCCAGTTTATGGGCATTTAGAGTATAAATTTTTCACTATTGTAAACAGGGCTATGTTGAATGTTCTTATACACATAACTTTGTGACTTGACAATGTTACTAAAAATTCCTGAAAAAAAAAAAAACTGCTAAAGAAAAGGAGAGAGGTTTTCAACGTCCACTTTAAAGTAAGGAGAACTATTGGAAGCAAGGCCATGATCTACCAATTTGACAGGGTAAACTTTCCTTACAGGATATTAAGAGTTCCTCCATGTTCAAGAGGGAATAACTGCCTATGTGCAGACTACCAGTTGCCAAAGGGCTTATCCCAATGAAAGCCTCTGCCCTACTGAAGCTTACATTGTTTTGGAGAAAGACAGATGATTAGTAATACACTTAATAAATAAGTTAATTATATATATAATTTAAGAAAAGACTGTTAGCTTATACTGACCCACACATGAAACCCTTCCTTGCTCTGTGAAACCTCTAACTAAACCTCTCTTCAATTTCAGTAACCTGGGATTCAGATTAAAAAAAAAAGATGAAAAAGAAACATCCCAACTCAGCCTCCCAAGTAGCTAGAACTGTAACCACAAACGACCACACCTTGCTAAATTTTACATGTTTTTGTAGAGACTGGGGCCTCTCTGTGTTGCCCAGGCCAGTCTTTAACTCCTAGCCTCAAGTGATCCCTTCCACCCTGGCCTCCCAAACTGCTAGGATTATAGGTGTGAGCTACTGTGTCCAGCCAGAATTTTATGATATTTTTTGACATATGGAATTTTACATTTTTATGTAGTCAAAAATTTAGTCTTTTCCTGATTGGATTCCAGACTGAAAATTTACTTTAGTAAAAAAAAAAAACATGTAGTTCCTTTCTATTTGGCAGGGGCAAGAACACTTATGCTGTTCTCAAAATTGTCATTATACCTACTAAAAGCACAGGCATGTGATAGAAGCCAGGATTGTGCTTGGTAGATCTATTACCAAGTGATCCCAAATCTATGTTTACCTATCTTAGAATGGGTTCTCAATAACACTAACTTTGGAGGCATGGAATTAGATTTTCCTAGCACCTTTAATATAATTCTTAGGAATTTTTTTTAAACTATAAAACTTGGTTGAATTGTTTTGAGTTTTCTCTTCAGTTCAGTAGCTTCTTTATAATGAGTTCTCTTATGTGCATTTACAATTGTTTTGTATGTTACATTTTATCCTCTGTATTACATTTCTCTCAACAAAGGAATCTATCTAAGTGAAACAAATATTGTACAACCCAATGTAGTTGATTTTCTTCTCTATTCTGTAAAGAAATTATGGGCATGTGTTTGATTCTAAAGAATTTAATATTTTAGAAATAGGAATGTTATCGAGTCACAGAAATTGTGATAACTACGTTGGTTCAAATTTGATTAAATTTCCCAAAGACATGCTTTTTCTTAAGCTGAATGGTCTTTTAAAATTATGAGTCTCTTTGGAGAGATTAGTTTTACTGAAAATTCTTCTTTTTTTTTGAGTCAGAGTCTTGCTCTGTTACCAAGGCTGGAGTGCAGTGGTGCCAGGTTAAAGCAATTCTCGTGCCTCAGCCTCCCAAGTAGCTGGGACTACAGTTGTGCACCATCACTCCTGGCTAATTTTTGTATTTTTAGTGGAGGTGGGGTTTTGCCATATTGGCCAGGCTGGTCTTGAATTCCTGGACCCAAGTGATCCACCCGCCTTGGCTTCCCCAAGTGTTGGTATTGCAGGCATAAACCACGGAGGCTGGCCTTTACTGACAATTCTTTATGTTTGCTGTTTTAAAGTCTGAATTATCATACTCTTTGTTTAGAGATCTCTGTATCCTACTTAAAGAAATATACTCTGCAGCTCCATGATTAACTTTGATGCATAAAAATTATATTTTTGTTTTAATACTTTAGGTGTGTACATCCCGATTCTGGTTTAATTATCGACATGTTGCAAATACTCTTTCTGTTTATAGAAGTGTCAAGAGGCTAGGTATTCCTGACAGGTAAGAAGTCTTAATAAAGCTTAACTTTGAACTTCAGTGAAAATAACCCTGAGAGAATTGTTATTATATTTGTATTTTCATGTTATGTTTGAAAAAGTTTAAAAAAAAATCTGATTTGAAGTTTTTTGTTGTTGTTGTTAGAACATACTACTATTTATACGTTAGATGTTATGTAAGACCATAATGACAAATCATATAAAAGAATGGATGCTAAGGTAAAAAAATTGGATGAAGTATAATTATTTAGTGCAATTTATTTAATTACTAAATGACTCAGGGTTTTAAATTGCAGGTAATGGAGGGCAATTCAGACTGATTCGAGCAGACAAGGGATTTATTGAAAGTATATTGATTACCTTACCAAATTAGTTAGAAGGTTGTATCCTTAAATATAGGAACAAGGAAGCCTAGATATCAGAAGAAACATAGTTAAAAATCATGACCTAAAACAGTCTGGTGACAATAATGGAGGTGCAAATTGCTGAAGCCTAGACTCCCCCACTGCATAGCTGCTACTGTTTGTTTCCTTTGGAAACTTAATGTTGCTATTGCCTTCTGCTGCCAAAATTCAGCTTTGCTGTTCCAACTTCTTACTGTTTCTATCTCTATTTATAGAGGCCTTGGTGGGAATGTTATATTGGTAAAGTCCAGGTGCAACACCCATGTCTGTGCTGCAGGGTGACCAGAAGAACTAGTATATGGCATTGTTAGCTTCTGTGTAGGAAGGTGGGCTTTGCCTTACATGAAGACTCATAAAATTGGAATTTTCTTACTTGTAGGAAGTGAGTTCAGGTAATAGGCAGTATCCCCACACCTTCAGTCAGATCATGTCTTCTACATTGTTTTGTCCATGATAGATTTGTGTTTCCTACTACCAAAGCAGCTATAGCAAGAAACTGCAGTCAATTCAGTTATTTAGGTTTGATTTATTTAGTACCAGTTAGTGTGGAAAGAGCTGTGTAGTCAGATATGACTTTGAAACCTGGCTTTAGTGATGATTTTTCTTCAAGCCACTTCACCATACTAAGCTTGTTTCTCATTTGTTACATGGTAATAATAGTAATTTTTTTTGTAGGATTCAAGTACTTACAGTAAAAACAAATAGAGATATACATAAAGTGCTGCAGGAACAGAAAGGAAGCAGTGAATGACTCAGGAAACAAAGTTATGTTACAGTCTATGTAAATAGATCACTTAAGTCTGAGTTAACTGACAAAGCTATAATTTCCATATTTCATCTGGAAATCATGGCAACTAGATAATATTACTATTTTAAAATTACATTAAGTCTGAGAAGGAGGTTAATTTGTTACATGAAGTGTATAGATATACTTCTTGTAATTTGTCATTGGTTTTTCTCAAATAGGCCTACGTAGTTAGTTTTCGGTCCTTAACCGCTCTTGCGTCTATACTTGATATACTCTTCTAGAGAATCACTACGCATGGCTTGGCAATGGTTTTTCTTTGCTAAATTAATCTTTGTTCTAGGAATCAATCATTAAGATACATTTAAATGATTTAAGTTCGATTTGGAAGGAGTTTTTAGGAATAGACAATAGCAATAGGATGTATTTTGTATATTATGTTTAGTAGGTTTGTCCTTAGGTTTGTGAAAATGTTATTTAAAAGCTTATTTCTGTTTATTGATTGCTTATCTATAGCTGTGTTTATAAAGTCTTTGTTGTGGGGTGAATTAGGATTCAAACAGTTGCTGATTTAAGTCATTCTGTATTTAACAAGTAGAAATCAGTAGAAAAGATTCTGCTCAGCTGGTGTTGGGTAAATAAATAAATGTATGATTTGGAAATATTTTATCAGTTGTGCCAAGCAAACACAGTTTGTGTTTTAAAAGTAAAAATATTTATATCCCCTAAATTGTGTTAGTCCAGTGTTAGAAAATGTTAGTATGATATTAAAGACATTTTAATAAATAGGTTGCCAGAATTTTATATTATTATTTCAAAATATTGACTCAGGGAAAAGGGTTATTAATGGTTCTGGGAGAAAAATGCAAAGATAACACTCGTAAGACCTTCATAAGTGCTCTCTAGCTTGAGTATGACCAGTTTCTTATCCAAGTTCCATGCAGGTGAGGTTTCTGTACTTTGCGCCCACACGTTTTCTCTAACCTTATGGAGATTTTGTTTTTATTTGCCTGGTTTTAGCTTCCTAAAATGTTTCATTATTGTTAGGCAATTTTCTGTCCTCAATGAATTATTTTGGTCTAAATCCCTGTTTAGCTACCTTCAATATGTTTAATATAATTAAAATGAAGAAGAGGCATTAAATAGGGGTTAGGGTCTAAGGTTAGTATGTAAAGCAAACATAGAGCCACAATTACTCCTGAAAGTTTATCAATTAGCACGTAAATTACAGTTTAGTGTTGTCTTTCATCACGTCTACCACAGTGCTGTTACTATTTTCTTCATTTGAACACTGGATAAATGGTTTACTTATGATTAGAGCCATGTTTAGGAAAAAATATACGTATCTTTAACATTAGAATTGTATTCTGCATGCTGTGAGAAGCACATGGGAATTGAGGCTGACTGAGGGAATGTAGAATCATAGCTCCCATCTCATGTTTCCTCTAGGGAATAAATTCATTGAGCATTAGGTTGGGAGACGTGATCTGTCTCTGTCACTCTCTCTTTTGGCTGAGTGCATAAGATTTACGTCACAGAGTAAAATGTCTGTATAATGTTTTAAAAAATAAGATTTAGTTTTACTGCAGTTTGGGTGGATGTGAGTTTATGTAGTGATTCCTGTCTGATGCTTGTTTCTGTAAAATCCAAGAACTTTTCTAAGTCCATCTAACACTTTTTTTCTTACTCTGTATTTCAGTTCTATGTGAGATTAATCTTCCTAATTTAAAGCTTTTATTCTTCATTTCCCCTTACTCAAAGCTTTTTAGAGTATTTAAAATAAAGTTCAAATCCCTTATCCTGGTACTGAAGACTTTTTTGCAGTGTGATTCCAAATCTGACATTCTGTTCTTTTAGTTTCAATCTCTTATGCTCCAGCCATTTTCTTCTTCTTAGTCCCTGTATTGTCCTTCATTGTTTTGCACTTGTTGCTAATCTATAGTTCTTTCCCTTCTCCCTCCTCTTGTTTTCTGATGTCCAGATTAAATCCATGAATTCCCTGAAGCTTTCTTGCTTTCTTGCATAAATACTGTATTTGTTCTTCTCTTTTGGCACTTTGTTACATGGGTTGGTGTCATATCTTCATGGCTGGATGTTATACTATATATTTCTCACAGTGCACTTCTTGATATATTGTTGCAGAGTGAATGAGTGAATGAATAGTGTGCTAAATACTTAGCTACTTACAGCTTAGTAGAACCTCGTTAGTCTAGAAGAGAAAGGAAACTTTTATGAATACTTACATTCTCCTAATCTTGTTTCTCAACTCCCACTGAGCTAACAGTGCTCTCTAGTGATGTGGTTTTTTTTTTTTTTTTTTTTTTTTTTTGTTTTGTTTTTTTTTTTAAGACAGAGCCTTGTTCTATAGCCCAGGCTGGAGTGCAGTGGACTGATCTTGGCTCACTGCAACCTCTGCCTCCCAGTTTCAAATGATTCTTGTGCCTCCGCCTCCTGAGTAGCTGAGAATACAGGCTTGTTTTTGTATTTTTAATAGAGACAGGGTTTTGCCATGTTGGCCAGGCTGGTCTCAAACTCCTGGCCTGAAGTGATCCACCCATCTTGGCCTCTCAAACTACTGGGATTATAGGTGTGAGCCACTGTGCCTGACTATAGTCAATTTTTATGAACTATCTTCTAACTTATGCTTGAGGGATCTATGGCTGGGGCAATCTTACCAGAGCACTTCAATTGATTTCTTTCTGTCAGAAATCTGCAAGAGTCTTGCTCAAAACAAGTCACCCCCAGCCTTACTTATTACCATTTAAGTTCCTTCAGAATGCATATGTTTTCTTTTTGTCCTTTGCCCCTTTTAACTTATTTCACAGTTAATAAATATTAGAATTAGAAGTAGGAGCTATTCGGTCAGTTATATAAATTCTGGTAATGTTTCTGTAAGTAGAAAAAGTCACTAATTGTTGTTGTTGTTGTTTTTTAAAACACATTGGTCATATAGCTTTTACTGCTGCTCTTCATGCTGCTGTGGATTTGTCCTTATACATAAGAGAACACTGTCTGAAGTGGAGCATTAATAAGCCATTCAGCAATCTTACTGCATAGTAATTCCTTAAAATGCTTTTTAAAAAATACTTGTGCCGGGCGCGGTGGCTCAAGCCTGTAATCCCAGCACTTTGGGAGGCCGAGGCGGGTGGATCACGAGGTCAAGAAATTGAGACCATCCTGGTCAACATGGTGAAACCCCGTCTCTACTAAAAAACTACAAAAAAATTAGCTGGGCATGGTGTCACATGCCTGTAATCCCAGCTACTCAGGAGGCTGAGGCAGGAGAATTGCCTGAACCCGGGAGGCGGAAGTTGCGGTGAGCGGAGATCGCGCCATTGCGCTCCAGCCTGGGTAACAAGAGCGAAACTCCGTCTCAAAA